TTCTTTCTTTTTATTTTTGGTTTATTACAAGTGGCGCCCAACTAGTAGCTTTGAAAAACCCCCTAGATTGAAGTAAAAATTAAATTACTTTTAATTTAATAATTCGATTTGTAATTATACATATCTGATAGAACTATAAAAAATAATACTAAATTACAAACTCTTTACGAAAGAATTCACATACTAGTACATTACATTTTATTTTATGTATACAAAATTATTTTCTGTATTAATTTTATAATTTTAATGAACAATCCAACAAAAAAAGAATTTATTATTGTAATAAAATATTTATTTAAAGAAATAATCAATAAATTTCGTAACAATATTATTAAATGCAAATATCATTTATTTAAAATAATAACTGAAATTCTTTGGGAAATAACCTTACATCTTGACATTAACATATACAAAACGCAAATAATTCAGAAAGTAATCTTATTATTTATAAATAATAATAGTTCTTTTCCTGTAACAGAAACAACATTATTGCTTAAGATTTCACTGATTTTGAATTATATCTATCAACACGAAATTAATGAAATTTTAAATATAATACCTAACTACAATAGTCTTATAGGTAATATAAAGCAAACAAAACTTTAATCTTTTTCATTTTTTTCAAAAATATTCAGAAATTAATTTGACCATATGAACTATCCCACTAAAATAGAATTCATAGAAATCACTAAGAAAGTATTGAATATTATCATAAAAAATTATAGCAATAAAAAAATTGCACACAAAAGTCATTTATATCATATAATTTTAGACGCACTTTGGAAAACTACTTTACGTATGCAAATTGATATCAATAAATTTCTTATTATTCAAAAATTTCTTCGTACTTTTACTGAATCACTCTATTATCCTATTAACGAATCTGCAATTATATTCAAGTTAAGTGTTGCTTTAAAATTTCTGTTTGAAAATACTATCGAACAAATTCATAAAAAAGTTCCAATCGTCTATAATCATCCAAATATTATATCATCGCCTTTAAATTCAAATTAACACTTAATGAATCAATCACCTATAGGTATATCTAGAACAGCTATAAGATATATGATAAAATTATCATTAGAGGAATATCCAAAAGATTTAAAAATAGAGAACAGAAATAAATTAAATCAAATTTTGGCTAATCTTGTCTGGAAAGCCACTGTAGAATCTGTAAATTATACACCAAAATTAGTCTATGCATTATTAGCATTCTTTGAGAAAAAACTAATAAGGGGTATTTTATTTCCCGAATCCATTACAGAATTAATATTAGAATTGGTACAAATTTTGGAACAATCATACAATAATCTTAATCAATTCTAATGAATTCTCATTCCCATAATAAAATCTCCAATATTGAAATATTCAGAAATTTACTAAAAGAAACTATCAAAGTATTAATAGTAGATTTGGATTATACAGTACCAATAACTTCTAATTTCAAATATAAAATATTAATTAGACACAGTTGCAATAAAGCATTCAAACAAATTAATTTAAAAGATAGGAATATACTTTTAATCTGTATCACTCACATTTTCAATAAAACTATCAGAGGATATCTATTCCCACAAACAAATATTAATGTTATATTAGAATTAATAACAATTCTAGAACTTACATATACTGAGCCTGTATATTTATTACCTAATTCACTTCCCTTATAAGTTTAATGGAAATTGATGACAATATCGAATCTATTAGCACCATATTTGAAGAAGAATTATATGATCTTGATTCTGTTGAAAACCCAGAAGAATTCATTAAAAGAATTTCATTTAATACCCTTAAGGAAGAATTAGAAAATAGAAACTTAATTAGCACAGGTTCTATAACTGAATTAAAAGCCAGACTTTTACGTCATCTTGTGGGGGAAGGCATTGATTCTGATTACTCTAAAAATTGTAATAAATATCTACGAACTAACTGTATTTATAATTCTACTGATAAAAATAATCATAACAAAATGAATGATCGCATACCTTTTTGTAAACCTGAAAAATTTTCTGGTGCTTTACACGAAAGCATAAATGCTTTCTTAAATAAATATAACAGGGCAGCTATGATAAATGGCTGGACTGATGATCAAAAGAAAACCTTCTTAGGAATTTATCTTACTGAAACAGCCCTATTATTTTTTGAGAATTTCGAATTTGATAACCCAAAATCGAGCTGGAGCGAAATGCAAGAAGCTCTTAAATTAGAATTTGAACAAACATCACAAGCTCATATGTTGCGTACCATGGTAGAAAAACGAAAACAACTTCCTGATGAATCTATAGCTAGTTATATTAATGAGCAAGAATCCCTTTGTAAAAAAATAGATCCTAATATGTCTCAAACAGAATTAGTTCATACTATCATGAAAGGATTACAACCCAGAATAGCTAGATATGTAGGTATACTTGACAATAATAATTTACAAGAGCTAAAGAAAAATATCAAAAAATTCGAATCTATAGAATTTATGCTAGAAGGGACTAGAGCTCAATCTAATGATGAAATCCAACACAATATAGCTAAAGAAAATTTATTTAACATAAATAACCATAACAACAGCCAAAATCAAAATCGCTTTGATATTCTCTCTTCACAAATTTCCAAAATAGAAAACATACTGTCAAAACTTGACATTTCTGATAATCAATCACCAAATAATAGATTTAGAACTAATAACTTCAATTATAATATAAATAATAGGCCAAATCCTAATAATTTTCATAATAACAACAATTATCGAATCAACAAAGAACACAATAATAATAACAATAATAATAACAATAGAAATAATATTTATTCAACAAATAGAGGGTATAATTATAAAAACAATAATTATGGAAATAACAGGGTATATAATAACAATAATAATTATAGAAAAAATAATTATCAAAACGATCAAACTTTTCATAATAATCGAGACAATCAAAATTTTCAAAATTTCCAAAACAATAGAGATAATGGTATTACATCAATTCCTTTTAGAGAAATTAAAAATAATAATTATAGAAACAACTATAATTTTAATGGTGGAAATGCCCTTCAAAAAGATAAAAATTACAATCAAACAAATTTTAAAAATTTCGGTCCTCCTACATGTATTCATTGCAATGTTTATACACATACATCAAATGACTGTAGACGTAAATTAATATGTACAAATTGTAATGGCAGATATCATCTAGCGAATACCTGTTGGAAAAATATTAATAATAACAAAGACACAAAAAACCCTCCAGTAGGTCAAATGCAATAATTGGAGATATGCATTCACCTTGCTCTCCAATAATTTCAAATTTCGACAACCCAGATCCTATACTTATCATAGTTAATCAAAATAGAAAGGCAAATGCATTACATATTTTAGCTAAATTAAATAATGAATTCATAGAAATAACTGTGGACTCTGGAGCAAACATAAATGCTATTCGTCCAGATCTAATAGATATTTCAAAAATTAATAAAACACATAAATATAAACTATCTGGTCCTGATAACTCTCCTCTAAATTTATTAGGTACAATTATAGTTGAAATAGAGATAGAGAAAACTTTATTCAAATTCACAGCCTGTGTCATAGACAATTTATCAAGTACAATAATTTTGGGTAATGAATTTTTATGCAACAATGATGCTAAAATAGATTATTCAAAAAAATCTCTTATTTTAAACAATAAAATTAAAACAGATCTTATGAACAGTAAATTTCCCCAAGTATTAAAAAATGTTGAAGACAATGAGCAAACAGCATTTAATACATCACAATCACATAATATATTAGAAGAACAAATAGATTTAGCAAATGTTAATTCAAAATATTCAATAGTTCAATGTATTTCAACTGATTTGAATTATGATTCTGAAATTTCTAAATCAATAATAAATACTTATGGAATCATGACACATATTTTAAAAGATACTGAACTACAATTAGGCGAAATAAGCACAGTAATTTCTAATAAAATTGTTATTCATTATTTAATTGTTAAAGAATCATGCAATTCTCATACATCTTATTTAGACTTATTCAATTGCCTTTATAATTTAAAAAACATTGCTATAAAAGAAAATTTCCAGCATATAGCTTTTTCTGCCTTAGATTTGATTAATAAACAACTACAATGGGACATAATAAAAAATATGATTATTGATATATTTAATAATGAGGCTATTGAAATTTTAATATGTTACCCAAAGGAGGAACAAAACAACCCACCCAAATCAGACAAAGTTTTATCCAATATTCAAACCAAACTAAAAAGTATCAAAAGTTTCAGAAATAAAAAAATTGACAAAGATATTAATCCAGAATTTCTTAACGTATTTTCTCATCACACATTAGGTGAAAATGTTTTATCTGATGGGCTATGTGGAATTTATTCCATTATCAATGCAATCAACGCCAATCAGCCAAATAAAATCATTAACATAAAATCTATTTGTGAATTACTTAATATATCGAAACTCCCAAATTATTGGTTTCACGACGATCAACTCGCTTCACTCATAAATCACTATGGTTTTGACACTTATATTTTCTGTAACAAAACCAAAATAGGTTATGTATTTGGAAATGGATTAAGACCACCCATAGTTTTATATAATCTAGAAAATGGAACACATTGGTGTCCAGGAAAATTAATAAATAACAAAAGAAAATCTTCTAAAATTCCAATAAAAATTATTCATACAGAAAACTTTATTTCCATAAAATCAATCGAAAAGGCATGTAAAAATGCACTTAAGTTAACTAGAAAAGAAACTTTGTTTAATATAATTTCCAATGATGACAAAAAACAATTATATGATTTAGAAAACACTCCAATACAAATATCCGATCATCTTTCTGTATATCAACACAATATATTAGTAGATTTAATACAAAAATATATTCATTTATTTACAACTGACATGTCTAGAGTAAAAGAAGCTAGAATACCACCATGTCAAATTAAATTAAAAGAAAATGCTAAACAACCAAAATTTTCCTCCCCTCATAGAGTATCACCATCACAAAGGGAAGAACTTAAAACCCAACTTGATAAATTAATGGAAGCTAACATAATAACACATACAAAATCCAATTTTGCATCACCAGCATTTTTAGTAAAAAAAAAAGAAAAAAACTCATATAGATTAGTTGTATCCTATAAAGATTTAAATGAAATGGTTGAACCAGACATGTATCCTCTCCCTCGTACTAATGACCTATTCCGCAGCTTGGAAGGATCAACCCTTTTCACATGTTTCGATTTAAATAGTGGATTTTTCCAAGTACCTGTACATCAACAAGATCAATATAAATTAGCTTTTACTACAGTTCATGGTTTACTAACTTTCACTAGATTACCTCAAGGTTTTCGTAATAGTAGTGCAATATTTCAAAGAGAACTAAATAAAGCTTTTTCTGACTTATTATATAAATCCGTAGTTATTTTCATAGATGATTTAGCCACATTTGGCAAAGATTTCAAATCAGCTCTTTCAAATCTAAAAAGGGTATTCGAAGTATTAGATCTATATGGCTTATCTTTAAAAACTTCTAAATGCAATTTTTTTGCTGAAAGCATTGAACTTCTTGGTCATAAAATATCCAAAGAAGGAATCACTCCTCTGACTCGTAATATCAAAGCAATTACAGAATTTAATAGACCTCAAACACCTAAACATGTTCGAAGTTTTCTTGGAATGTGCAGTTATTACAGGAGATTAATAAAAGATTTCACAAAAATTGCATTTCCTTTATTTTCATTAACCAAACATGATACACCCAAAAAGATTGAATGGAATTCTGAACATGAAATAGCATTCGAAAAATTAAAAACCATCTTAACATCTGAACCTGTAATTGCTCATTTCTCGGATGACAAAGAAACATATCTCACTATTGATGCTAGTATTATGGGTTTAGGTGCTGTCCTCGAACAACCAGATGACAATAATATTCTAAAACCAATAGGTTATGCTTCTAGAAAACTTTTAAATGCTGAAAAAACATACTCTAGTACAACCCTCGAACTTCTAGGTCTTGTCTTTGGTATAACATATTTTAGAGAATATCTCTGGGCTAGAAAGTTTGTTGTATATTCAGACAATATGAGTCTCCAATACTATAAAAATTTAAAAATTCCATCAGCAAGAATAGCTCGCTTAACGTTAAAAATTTTAGATTATGATTTTATCGTAAAATTCAAAAAAGGAAAAGACAATTTAGTCGCTGATTGTCTCTCTCGCGAAGGGATAATGACTATAATTGATGCTGTAGTTTTCAATCATTGCAAAATTGAACCCTACAATGAATTACCTATTATGACCTATAATATCGATATTAATAAAAACAATGATACTATTAAAACCATAAACTCGAGTAAAAATATTTCTACAAATAATATAAATTACCAAAAAAATGATGATAATCCAATTGAATATACTAAAGAAAAATATTTTGGCATAATTAACAAAAATATAATAAATGATAATATGATAAACTATGAATACGATTATACTAGGGACAATAATTATAATATATTAGCTAATATAAATACTAAACAATCCAATGAAGTAATGAATTTTGCAAACAAAATTATTACTAATGATAAATATATTGATGCCAATGATTCCAAAAAATATTTAAATACTATTTATGTCCCATATAGCAGGCCTGCTCTAAATATTAATAACATTGCAAACAATGTTACTAATGATAATTCCAATACTAATCCCTATGAAAATATTATTAATACTAATGATTTAGAAAATGATATAGATATAAAGAAATGCCAAAAAGAAGATACATTTTGCCAAAATATAATTAATGCTCTAAATAATTTAGAAGTTCCTATTAAAATAAAGAAAATGTCTAGAAAATATATAATAATAAATGATATTCTATACTTAAAACAACACATTCCAAAACAAAATGTTAAAAACCTAATTGTTATACCTCAATCGTTAATTCAAAAGGTAATCTCAAATCACCATTGTCCACCACTTTCTGGTCACATGGGTATAACCAAATCCATTAAAAAAATACAAATCAAATATTTTTGGCCCACATTAATAAAAGATGTAACTGAATTTATTAAATCATGTCATCAATGCCAAATTAATAAGAAATCTACAGACAAACCAGCAGGTATATTACAACCAATACCATTATTATCATGTAAACCTTTAAGTAGAATTACTGCAGATTTTCTTGGTCCACTTCCGTCAAGCAATTCATATAAATATATTCTTGTATTCACTTGTCAAAGTTCAAAATATATTTTTACAAAAGCCACTAGATCAGCTGATGCTAAAACAGTAATAAATTTTCTATTAAATTTCATAACAACATATGGTGTTATAAGGTACTTTACATCAGATAGAGGATCTCACTTCAGGAATCATGCCCTAACAGACATCTGTAAACACTTTGGCATAAAACAAATATTTTCTTCTTCTTATGCGCCTCAATCTCAGGGTTTTACAGAGAGAATAAATGGAATACTGTGTCAAACTCTTAGGCATTACATAAAGGATAATAAACAACACAGATGGTCATATTATCTCCCTTATGTAACATTCAGTTATAATAATACCCCACAAATTTCTACCAAACATACTCCATTTTATATCTTGCATGGATTTAATGCAGACATTACTATTGATTTACAATTAATTCCTGAAAATTTAGATTATGATTTAAAACAATCCTTACAAGAGTTAAAACATGTTAGAGATACAATTCCTGAGTATATTAAACATGCACAAGAAATACAAAAACAAAATTATGATAAATCTCATAAATTAACACAATACACACCTGGGCAATTAATATTAATTACTTTCCCTTTTCAAGAACATGACAAATCCCCCAAACTTGCACAAAAATATCGTGGTCCTTTTAAGGTATTATCCAAAATAAGTGATGTCAATTATTTAATAGAATTAAAACTTCACAACAAAGTAACAAAGGATGTTGTTCACATAAGACGCATGAAACCCTATTATACAAAAGAAGCACTCACTTCCAACCCAGAATCCTCATCTAGTCAATAAAAAAAAGGTAATAATTATCTTCTTGCTTCTATATTAACATAATTTTAATAATAATTAATAACAATTACTATTTATCAGAATAAAAATTAGAATTTTTATTCTTACCAAACAAAATGATTATTTCACATAACATTTCGAATTTTACAACAGTATTAATTTTAATACTTTTATCTTCTAGTATAAAAAATTCTCTAGGTTTTATAGCTTACAGTTGTGCAGGATCCAAATTAAATATTACAGCTTTCAATACACTATCAGTTAATTATTGTCATGCTCCACCTCCATCACAAATCACTAAAATTAAAACAATTAAATTATTACAACGTGTTGAATCTCATACCATTCCGTTTAAAGCTTGCTATATTCTAGCTGACTATTTCATATCTAGATGTAGTTATTTTAATGATGCACAAGTAGTTAAAGATGGATATTTTTCTGAAGTCATTGACTTATCACCAGCTCAATGTTCTGATATTCATCATAAATTATATCATAAATTTAACAACAACGCTATAGTAACAAACTTAAAAGTTAATCAAACCAAATATTTCTCAACAATAATAGCAGGAAATGTAGGTTCAGACGGTAGTTGTGAGGGATCATCATATAATACAGATAAAAATTATTATAAAGATGTAATTGTACAAGCTAAATTTAAAATTCTAATTTCCACTGGGGTAGCTATAGCATCATATAAAGAAGACTTATTTATCTCTCCTACTGGCACCAGATTTAAACTTTCTAATTATTTCGGCATAGATACTATATATGGTCACATTATATGGGATCATGATGAAACCTCTAATGAAAATTGTAATACAAAAGATTATGATGTTTTATATGAGGGTCCAGCTGATTTAATAATTTCAAAGAGAACTAATGAAAATGAGGAAACTCATACCTACATTGTCCAAACTGACAAAATAGCCTTTGCACTAAGAAAAACTGGTTTAACTTATGTTTGTTCTATTCAAATGATTAGCACAGAACATGTTAGACTTGTCATATTAGCAGATCAAACATATATGCCAAATTTTAAAACACGTCCACTTTCTGTATTTAACACTGATCTTGTAGCATACCTTAATACCAAATTTGTATATATAGAACATTTTTTGGGTTCTTCAATAACTGCAATGTACCAAGATTTAGTTATCAAACAATGTAATTTAGAACGACAAATTTTAAAACAAAAACTAGCAATAGCATCTTATAGTTTATCTGAATTTGCATATGCTATGTCCAACTCTCCGGGGTACGCTGCCCTTAGAAGTGGAGAAATAGTTTATCTTTTAAAATGTAAGCCGGTTGAAGTACAAATAGCCAAAACAAATCGTTGTTTTGATGAATTACCCGTAATTTTTGAAAATTCCACTAAATATATTTCACCCAAAAATCACATAATACTTAATCATGGCACAGAAATAGACTGTAGTGAATTAATGCCTTCAGCATATTTAATAGAAAATACCTGGTTCAGTTTAAATCCATATTTTAGGGAAATAAATCCACCTCAAACACTAACACCTGAAACAGCATTTACTTGGCATTATAAAAGTCCTACATTCCTAATGAATGCTGGACTTTACTCTAAAGAAAACATGAATTCCTTTCAACGTCAATTATTATTCCCACAAGAAATAAGTTCGGCCCAATCAAACATTGCTCGTGAAACATTAGGATATAATATTTTAGATCAAGGTCTTAGATTTAAAACTCTAATAGATGAAGTAACAATTAACAAATTAGTTGAAAATAAATTAGAAAAAATTTATGGTTGGTTCCTATGGTTTGGAAATTGTATTAGTGGATTACTAGGAATATTTTTTATTACTAAATTAATCTTAACTTGTTTAAATACTTTTATAAATATAACTATTCTATATAATACCTTTGGTTGGAGTATTAAATTACTTGCAGGCATATTCTCTGGTATCACAAATTATATTATGCATAAAAAACACACAACAAACTTTTCTACTACCAAGAATTGTGAAAACTCTTCTTCACCTATTTTAGAAACTAACGAAAACATTATACCCATTGAATTTGAATTTCTATCTGAAACAAAACCTAATGATGTATTATATTCCAAACCCAAATTAATAAACTCCATTTATCCGCAATTACATAAAAGCATTCAACACAATAGAAAACCTTCATTATAAATAAATATCAATTAACAATTAATACAATATTTCAAAAAAAAAGAAATTCTTTTTAATAAACATTCATACCATTTTCAGATTCAGTATTCAAACTTCGCGCTTCAGAACTAACTAAACAAAAATACGTTGCCTTTTACACATACACTCAGCTCACTCTTTGATTTATCATAAGTTTGTCATAAAATATAAAAGTATTAACATATTTTCCACTTAAAATTGTTGATAAGTACTCATTAGGATAGATAATTATGCACTCATACTCACACGATCAGAATAAACACATAAAGTAAAATGAATGCAGCAATGTGGTAATAACATTTCTGCACATGTTTCACTCTTTTGTTAATACTGGAAAAACGTGTCTCAAACGAAGTTAGACACTAAACTAGGGACGAACTGTTCTCACCATTTCGTTGGTTTACAAACAATCGGCCATATGTAACAAAATATTTACACTCTAAATCTCCAGGAAACATTATATCCAAATATCACAAAAAACATCTTATCACAATTTATTACCGTATTTTGTTAATAATAAAAATTATTACAAAGTTTAAACATAGCAATCAAATCTCAAATATAAAAACAATAGTTAGAAGAACACTTCAATGCATTAAGGCATAATTATATTATCGCACACAGATTAATATCGAAAATTTTCAAAACCTAATTTCACGTATTTTCTTTCTTTTTTCAAATAGATCATATAAAAAATTCATTAAAACAAAATATATATATTATAGGCATATAAAACTTTTTATAAATAATATCATAAAATTGAACATAATTATTTATCATTATATTCTACTAATATGCACATTAATAAATTATTTAACAAATATAGAGACAAAGCTCTAAGTAATGTTAGTGCTATCAATGATTTTCCTCATCTTAAACAATTCGATATCATAAAAGAAATGATTAATAAACAATCCGACGAACTTGAAATTGGATTTCCTATTCGTTCTTTTAAATTCAGAAACGCTAATGAATTAGCTTCAATAAGAAATACATTAGCTGATGCCCATATAAATATAATTGATAAAGAATATAGGAACTTATTTGGTAGAAACAATATAATCACATTCTCATTCTTAGACTATACAATTACTAATGATTGGCATGTCGTAGTTCATGATAGTAATGATTGTCAACGTAGTTTAATTCAATATCTTCAAAATGAAAATAAGCAAATAATCTTTAAATCAATTAACATAACAATTACACTTAATGCTACACATTGGTATCAAACATTAGAGAAAGAACACCATTTCTTTAGATGCCGAGGATGTGGTAGTCAATTATTTACTTGGCATATTTAACAACTCTATATTAATTTAAATTAAAGAAAGTGCTCACTAATAATATAATAATTATACATTAAACAAATATAATCACATCATAATAACCATGCTGAATATATTTTCAATCTACAACCAATTAAAATTATTTATAAACTAAATATTTAATTATTATACATTTATTTAAGAATATTCAATTTATAATAATCTTGGTAATATTATTCTATTCAAAAATCACAAAATCACAAATCTTAAGGATATTCACTAAAACATAATAAATGTAAATATTCATCCCCTTCTTAAAATAAATGTTACAAGTCACAATAACCAATAAACTCACATAGAAGACTCAACCCCAAATAACCCTACCTCTCAAACTTATAAGGGATGAATAATCTTGTACTGGATGTTTGCACATTAATAGTTTAAGTCCCACCTACAAATATTAAGTAGGTAGGAATAAGTATAAAAATTAGTCATTGAGGATTCACAAAAATCTTCACAAGTCAGTTTGTAAAAACTACCCCTGCGGCATACACCTAAAAAAAAAAACTATCAAGAACTCAGAAGTCGACTCAGAATTCAAAGCGGAAATTTTGTAAGTATACTTCTTTTATACACTAGTACACTATCATTTATTTTTAATTACATTATTTTCATCAATTCAAAAATAAAAAAAATTTTTTCTCTTCTCTCTCATCTCTTAATATTAAAATTCAATTTATATATTAAAATGAATTCCTTTTTCATTATTGGCTTTGAATTCATTACTCAAAGCAAGGACAACATAGTAGTGACAATTGGAGCACTTAAAAGAACATTCATAGATTCAAAAATAATTAAATTAGAGGGCACAGCGATTAGAATAAAAAATGGGGTGACAAATTGTATTTCAAAAAATGAATTTCACAACTTAAATAATCAAATTAAATTTAATCTAAAAAAGAAACCTAAAGATCAGATAGATATGGCTATCAAACATTTAAAAAATTCTTTAGTTACTATTCAAAATACCCTTAATAAAGTATATATAGGTAGACAAATATTTAAACACTATGAAGAACCCACAATAATATTCTTCTCAGGAAATACAGATGAAAACATTTTAATTAACCTGGGTCTTAAGGGAATAAACACTCTGAATATAATAGTTAAAAAATATGACAAACACATAGAAAAATTTATCATATCAAATTCAAACAATGATAGTCATAAAATAATGGAAGAATGTAGTGATGAAATATTAAATAATGAATTCTTTATATCCCTTGAAACTTTAACACCAAAGGGAATTTCTTCCAAGATCTTAGCTGTTACAAAAATTCCGTATGTTCAGAAAGTAGGGAATTTATTAGGCTTGTCAGATACACATACTTTAATATGCGGGAAAAAACATATATCACATGGAGAGCCCCATGACCCATCATTTGATGTGATCATGACAGATTGCCTCTTAGCATACTTAGCGAAATCCGTTGGATATAGCGAATTAAAACAAATTATTTTTTCCCATTTTTCAGAAAATAATAACAATAAATGCTTCTAACAATTACTACATTCATAAGTAATAAATCTACATTAACAAATAAAATTTATTAAAGAAAATTGATTTCACTAGTATACTTAACATTATAAATTAGTTATTTCATTTTTATTTTATTACTTTTATTATTATGTCTTTATATTTTTAAATATAACAAAAAAAAAAACAAAAACAAAAAATTACCAAAAAAAAATACATAACATTATATTTTTTTTTTTTCTTCTTTATCATTATTTACCTTAATATTATAAAATTTTCATATCACTTTTATTACTAATCTTATTATCTAGCGTAAAAAGTATAATTAAATTTAATAATTAAAATAAATATTTTTAATTTAGAATTAAATACAATTATTAATAGGGATAGGAATGAATTACTATAAAACTTTTAATAATCTTATTCATAGTTCATATATTCATTGAATAAAGTTATATCAAATATTAATATTTTGTATATATTATTTTATCTTTGCATGCTTTTTTTTATTTACTATAAATATTACCATGTCCAATATATTACAATTAACAATTTATTCATATATATTTTGCTTTTCATTTCTACATGAAGATTTAAAAAAATCACAAACAAGATTTTTGAGAACACTATTTCTTTATCAACAAAAATATTGTAAGTACTATATTATAATATCACCATATTTTAAACAAAAATGAGTACTAATGTTTTCATAACATCATTCACAAATTGTGATTATACTACAATGATAACAGGGGGGGCTATTAAAGAAACCATTATGAACTCCCCTATTCATATCCTAGAAGGAAACACTTTAACAATTAGGAATATAAAAAACATCATTACAGGCAGAGAGGGTATTCCTATCAATATACATTATGGATATTCTGACAACAACATCGTTCAGAAATGTTATGGATTACCCATGAACAATATCTATATCATGGCTGAAAGAATGTTTCTGTCACAATTTTTTTGCTTGCGTCTATACAAAGAGCAAGAGGGAATAAGGAAAGAAATTCTTGTAGCTAGATTAGGTGGACCAATTTATAGTGAAAATTGTGACCTCACAATTGAGGACGCACATTCACTAATATGCAAACGCCCCCATCAAAAAAATAATTATGCTGAATACAAAGTCCAAATGATTGACTGCTTGTTAATACACATTGCAATGTCAATGGGTCGTGTCCATTTATTAAACTTTCTTAAATCACAATTCAGCAAATAAAAAGATATGGTGATTTTATTTTTTTAATTCTTATTTTAATTATTAAATATATTTTATCATTACTAATTACTAACCAATTCAAATGCAAATTATTATAGTTTACTTATTAGATTTAATTATGCATGATATATAAAAATAATAAAAAAATATATATAAAAAAAAAAAACAAAAAAATATATATAAAAAAAACAAAAAAAAAAAGGCAAATTACTATTTCATTTCAAAATGCATGCTATTATTATCATTAAATTTTTATTATTATTTTATACATTAGACAATATAATACTAACCCTAATTTTATTGCATGCTTAACCTTAACACTAATCATTACAGGATGTAATTCATCAACATGTAAGTTAAAAAAAATATACTATCTAATAAAATTATACATTAAACTTAAAGACTTTTTATATTATTTCTATATTCAAGTTTAAATTTTTATATTAATATCAATCTATAAGTCTATTAATTTATAACTTTTACATATTATCTTTAATTATAATTTTAATTGATTTACAAATATTTCATTAATTTAATATTAATTTTTATATTATTTTTAATTCTACTTTATTTATAATATTCCATTAATTTCATATATCTAATCATCATATTTAAGTATACAAGGTAACATTTCTATGTAAGAATTCCATGTTAGTAATTTATAAGAACATATTTTTTAAATTTTATGTATAATTGTTAACCTAAAACCATGAACATCAAATTCTGAACATCAATAATTAAACTCTGTACTCACTTTCCTAGGCAAAATTCACATTGGATAATGTCGTCAGATGTACCAACTTTTGTTTACAATGACTCAACCATCAATAAATTCATGGAGCTCATAGTCAAAATATCTCAATCACAAATATATGCATTTGACACTCTTCTCCTTCTAGAAATTAAAAGAAACGGGTTTGAAGCAGTCCATCGACGAATAAGAAACAATCTATTTGAGAAAACACTTCTTCTCGCCCCGTTTCATGACAACAATCATTATTGGAATTTAGCAATTATTCATGTATATAATAAAGAAATAATACTACATAATTGCACGAACTACATCATCACTGACATGATAGAGAAATTACGTCAATTTATCATATCATGTGAACTCAAGCAATATGGTTTAAATTCTCATTGGCAAATTTATAAGGGTGAGACAACAATATTAGATGATAATCATAACTCTGGTCCATGGATTCTGGAGATCGCTGAGATAATCTCTAGAAATGATAATCCAATGATCAATCTTTCTCTTATGAAAGATTATACTAAAAAACATAAACAAATACTAGAAGAAAACATTCTACACCTTTATCATGATCCAGCACAATTCTCCAATCCACCACCTCTAAGACCACCAACGCCAACCGGTATCAAAGTAATACAAATAGATCACTCAAAGAAGAAAACACTAAAAAACAAACACAATAAATATTTGAAGAATCTAAGAAAGAAAACCAGATATAGAAAATACTATAAATACATTAATATGAAAAGAGAATTACTATATAAACCTATTATATTAAAAACACTAAAACCTAGGAAAACATCTTATTCAACATCTCAAGAAAGAAAAAACGAGATGAAATCCAATCAATCAAATCAATGAATGCTGTCCAGGAAAGTAGTACAATAGTAATTACCACAAAAAAGAAAATCAAATAAGAAGAAAACAATCAAATAGTAGGAATAATCACTTTAATATCATTATTTAAATCTGTTAAAGTAATATTAAATATGCTTCACTTATTAACACAATTCATTATTGTTCAATAAAATTAATTATATGATGTTATTTTATAATCAACAAAAATTAAAGAATAAAATATTGTACCACCAAATTCTATCCTATTTGTCATAAACAAGAATATATATAACGCATTTAAGATTGCAATCTTTAATTTACAATATGTCGACAATTATATAATTATATCAATGTAAACCTTGTATAATTTTAATTTACTTAATCTTATTACTATTATTATTAATAATTATATATCATAGGGTAAATTNAACAATTATATAATATCAATGTAAACCTTGTATAATTTTAATTTACTTAATCTTATTACTATTATTATTAATAATTATATATCATAGGGTAAATTTTATTTAATATTAATTCCATATATATTTTTTTTTTTTAATCTAAATTTNTTTTATTTAATATTAATTCCATATATATTTTTTTTTTTTAATCTAAATTTTTATTTTATCATATTATATTCATAACTACCTGTATTTATATAGAAACATTTTAGGATATAAGATAATCATGTTTTAATTCATCTTTACCTTATTATTTAAGTTAGGATAAGTGTCAAATTAGCCAAGTTAACTCATGAATAGTAATAACTGTAATATCATTATAAGAACATACTTTAATTATTATTGGCAAGTTCATGTTGTACATGATTGTTTACATATAATCGTATAACACATGTATTCTTGGATTGTAAACATTACATTATAATATCACTGATAATATTGTCAATCTTATCAATCTGATAATCTAAATAATTATGTATATTTAGTAAAGATTATACAAACATTATTAAATATACAATATTATATTCTTTGTAACAGATAAACAAATTAACAATAATAAATATGTATGATGTTAACTTGTAAGTTTTAAATAAATGTGAATTACTATTGATTGTACTATGATTATATGTTAAAATTTAAATAACTGTTTTCAGCTATCCAAAATAATTTTATTACAAATGTCTATTAATGTAAGAATTGTATTTTATTTATTTTACATTATTATTACTTTGAATCACTCTTGTATTTTATAATTA